TTTCTCCCTATCCCTATTCTGTACAACTTCCTAAGAATGCGTAGCTTGGTGATTCAAACCAGGTGTTGGCTGTTGTCCTTTTAAAACCTTGTGTTCTTGTAACATGCAACTGCCTTGTTCTAGTGCACAGGGTGGGAGTGTGAGAACGTGAAGAAGCCTATAACCAGATCTGCTGCATGAATGTCTCAGCTATGGGTTGAGACAAGGCAGCAAAGGACACAGTTTCTTTGGAAAGCAAAAGATAACAATTATACAAAGACTGCTGAAGCTTCTCAAGACTGAAAGATGAAGGGTGTAAACATCACACTGTTTACTTTCCGTTATGGGGGAGAATGCAGGGAAAGGGCGCCTGCTTTGAGCCTGCTCATGTCCTTGGTCTAGGTCATGGTTGCTTGCCTGGTGGCCCTCTCAGAAGGCAGTGGCTTTGGTAGGAGATCATCTTTGGTGATCGCTGTTGTCCATTTAAGGCCAGCTATTCTTTCCATACTTGCTGGTTACCACAGTAGTGAAAAACTGAAAGGTGTTTTAAAATGTGTCTTTCTGTCTTCGGAAGTGACTCTCACAGGGGTTAGTGTGAGTCGTGGGATAAGTTGCACTCCAGAACTAAATAAATATGCCAGGAACCCATGCTGGAAGTCTATAAAATGTGCCAAGTGAACAGACGATGTGGAGACTCCCACAGAAGGTGGCTGGCAAAGAAGAGACCATTGTTAAGCTAGGTGAACGAAATGGTGATAGTCAGCATAGTCAGCATCATCAGGTCAGGTCTTGGGAGTGGGTAAGAGCTCTGCAGACTTCATGATACAGTTACCTGACCTTCTTGTTAGGAATTTAATTATTGCTATCAATCATGACATGCTTTGCTTCCTCGAAGAAATCGTCACAAATGTCTGCAACAGCAAAAACTTGCCTTTCTAAAAACTTAACAAGTTTTTGTTGTTGTTGTTGTTGTTTTTGTTTTGTTTTTTTGTTTTTTGTTTTTCGAGACAGGGTTTCTCTGTGTAGCTTTGGAACCTATCCTGGCACTCGCTCTGGAGAACAGGCTAGTCTCGAATTTACAGAGATCCGCCTGCCTCTGCCTCCCAAGTGCTGGGATTAAAGGTGTGCGCCACCAATACCCAGCAACAAGTTTCGTTTTAGAGAGATGTTTTGTAGCTCAAAATTTAAGGGAGGAATGAGAGATGAATAACGCTGTGGATATTTGGAGACGCCACAGGGGAACATTGTGAGTTACTTAAAAATACATAAATCAGAGGCTGGAGAGGTGGCTTAGCAGTTAAGGGCACTGGCTGCACTTCTAGGAGGCCTGGGTTCAATTCTTGGCACTCACATATGGCTCACAATGATAGTTCCAGTCCTAAGGGGATCCAGTGCCCTATTGTGGCCTGCGTGGCCACCACATGCTCCTGGTGCACAGACAATGCTTGCAGGCAAAACACCTATTCACATAAATTAAAATAAAAAAAATATAGTTTAAATATGTGTATATGTGTGTGTGTGTGTGTGTGTATATATACATATATATATATATATATTTATATATATTTATATATATTTATTTTAAGGAGCATGATAATGCTCCTCCCAAGAATAAACCATATAACATAACCCCAGTGCCAGGTATGAGAAACATCTTCTTGTGAGTCCAGGAGACTTCTTCAGATAAACAGTATAAGATGTTGCCATTGCCCTTTGCTATACCCCAGACCTTGAAGCTAAGGAAGGCCCTATTGCTGAAGACAGCATGTGCTTTGGACACAGGACTTGAAGGAATTGATCTGGGACAGACCTAGAAACCTCCTCCCCTAGGACTGGCTCTCATAGTATAGGAAGTTGCTATGCAAACTGCCTAGGGAAAAGCTATCAAGAGTCCTACCCAGTTGTAAAGTCTGTGAACCATGACAGTGATTGGCCTAGCAAGATCTCTCCAGTGGTGCCCTGTGGCATTTTATTGTGGGGCAACCAGCAGCTGTCTCGTTGAACTAAAATTTAAATACTTAATTGTAAAGCTTAAAACAGAAGCCTACAGGACACTTCTTTTCAGGGAAACATCTATTTAGTTCCTAACCTTAATTGTAGGTTCTTATCCTCCTGATGGGCAAAGCCAGTTGACTGAGGTATATGAAAATGTGGGGGTGATAATTTTAGCACTTTTTGAAATATTATTCTGACACTCTGTTTTCCTAAGTTCTAGAAAGCCTTTGCATGTTTTTTACGTGGTTTATGATTCTTTTTCAGAACAGGGTTGATTTTTATTTCTATGCTCTGTCGAGTACACAGATGTTTCTAATCCTTTTTGGTTACTCTGGAAGGGTCTTAAAAAAAAAAAAAGTGCCAAAAATATAGTGTTGCTCAATTCCCCTTCCCGAGCATCCTCCCCCACCTCCGCCATCCTTGCTTGAGTCCCCTGACAAGTTGATGAGACTCTGGAGGAGGAAGCGGCTAGCTTAGGGCTTGGGTGCAGCATGTCCTTCCCAGAGCAGCCAGGGCCACTGGGGAAAGCCTGGAACTGGGGAGTTCACTGACAAGGCTGGCTGCCAGCAGTCACAAGAGCACTAGAGCTGGACCACCAAGGCCTGCAGAGGGCAGGGCTCTGGCTCCAGCTGTGGCAAGCCAGATTCTTCATTGTCCAGCTTCTTTGGCTGCCTCTGTTTTCACTGGAAAGGAGGCATTCCTCCACTTTGTTGGGGAGTTAACCACTTCCACATCATGGGGCTCTGTGAGGAAAATTCTTTCCCAGGCTGGGTCTCTATGTTTTGGCATTTTAATGGCTTCTTTATCTGTTCAGGGACCAATGTAAATTTTATCTTGGCTTTCCCACAAAGGAGTTTGTAAAAAATTTAGAAGGGAGCTTAAACAGTTGTGAATTTTCCCTGTGACTTAGTAAAAACGCTCATTTTGTCTGGGTTGGTGCTTCATGGTGGGAAGAGCTGTGCTGTTTCTGTCCTCTGTGCTTGTCTGGCAGACATGTTTTTAACTCTGAGTCCCCAGCCTTTCTCCTAAGACAGGCTGCTCCAAAAGAGGGTAGAGCAGTGTGCAGGAGAGGTCTTCCGACAGCCTGCGCAGAATTCTGAGGGCTTTGAACCCCATGGGTCCACAAATCTTGCAGTAATCTGCAGGCCCTGCTCTGCCAACAGCGATGGTGACCAACCCTGTCTCTGCCCTCAGTCCCGACACACAGATTCATGGGAGAGTGGCACAGACCTCCTTTATGCTGCGGATGGTAGACAGACAGACAGACAGACCGACAGACAGACAGACAGACAGACAGACAGACACACAGAGACACACACATGCACACGCCATTCATTTCAAAACTAAAAACTGAAGTATAACTTGTTTTAGGAAAAGGCCCACAGGATGGCAGACATGGGAGCCACTTCCTAGAGCTAATGGATGGACAGCTTAGAGAAAATGGATGCAAGGGGGCTCTGCCCACAGGGATGGTGGTGTGGACCCAGGATGCACAGGGCCCATCTCAGAAATGACCATCAAGCAGATGGGGGTTCAAGCCCTGTATCAAACAGCTGTACCTAAGGTTCTGAAGAGGGCGTCCCATGCTTTCAAAAGGTCATCCTGACAGCATTGTTCCGATGAGACTGAACAGAGAGCTGGGAATACACAGTGTGACCACGAGGATCATGGCAGAAACTCAAGTGAAGTAACCTGTGTGGGTTTGCAAGGGAAGGAAATCATTAGAAAGCCACCCTGGAGTCCTCTTGACAACTTCTGGAGGAAGAGGGAGATTTATTTAAGTTGGGTGACTTGCTGGTGATAGCATCGCCCAGAAAGCAACACAGGAAGAGAAACACAAGTAGGGACATTATGAGTCATGTCCCAGCTTCCCTGGTGGGATGAAAAATCGGAAGCATGGGGTCATCAGCTGCTGGGACTTTGGGAATGCCAGCATGGCGTAAAGCTAGAGAGTCCATAGGGGTTAGGAAAGAACAGGAGAGATGAAACCTGGGGATATCCTGAGGGTGGAAGGCCAGTCAGAGGATTCTTAGGTAGGAGCTGATGAACCCTGTCCCCATGGAGCTAACCCTCCAATAGTTAGCTACCAGGATACAAGCCATAAAGGGCCCACAGTAGAGGGAGGATTGTAGTCTTATTTTCCACACATAGGTCATGTGTGTGTCTTCATGGAACTCATGGGTGTGCTACAGAAGACTCGATGACTAGAAATTTGAGGTGGGTGGGGGAGGAGTGAGCATAGTGAGCAGAGAGAATGGGAATAGGGGCTGAAGGAGTAGCACAAGCAGGTGTGGGAAGGCCGGAGCTGGGGTTGGAGTCAAAGGGCACAGGGCCAGGAGAGCACATTGAGGCCACTGTAAGAATCTGCAGTAATTTTTCATGAGTTCTAGATATCCACCCTAGACAGTCATTCTCTGCCTTCAAAGAATGCTCCATGCTCACTGTTTAATTTACAGAATACTAATAATAGCCACATAAAGATTCCTTAGGGATAAATGGGATGCAACCTAGGAATAGGGAGGGAGGAGCCAAGTCCTCGGAGGGTCCTGAGGAGAAGCAGCCCAGAGTCAGTGTCCCTCTCTGGTACTGCCCCCTTCCCAGCCCACAGGATGCTCAGAGAGCCTGTGTGCTTTGCAGTGCAGAGCTCTCCTGTACCACTTTGAAAATCTGGAGAACTTCATCGTACTTATCGTCTGTTTCACGATTATTCCCTCGGCAGCCTTTAAGTGGTTTTTATTTCTTTGTTCTAAGTTTAAAATGAGGGCAAAGCATTTTTAAAGAGGGAGCTAGAATGTCTTGGATACAAAGAGATTTGGAAGTGCATGAGAAACCTCATTGAGCTGACTCCCCACATAGGGACTGAGAGGAAGAGTATGTGCATCTGAAGGCTCCAAAGGGGAGTGACAGAACATGCCCTTTAACCCCACTGCAGAATTCCAGGCAGAAGGCGGCATTCGTAGCCAGGTTTGCAGCTCTGTTGGGCCCAGTGGTTTTGCTTGCTGACCCTCTTTCTCTGCCCATCTCAGCTTTCTGGCGGCTGTGAGCTGACGGTAGTGATCCATGACTTTACGGCTTGCAACAGCAACGAGCTGACCATTCGGCGTGGCCAGACGGTGGAGGTTCTGGAGCGGCCTCATGACAAGCCTGACTGGTGTCTGGTGCGCACCACTGACAGGTCTCCTGCAGCAGAAGGCCTTGTGCCCTGTGGCTCACTGTGCATTGCTCACTCGAGAAGCAGCATGGAGATGGAGGGAATCTTCAATCACAAAGGTAAGCTGCCAGGCGGCCTGAGGGAAGGCCTGGTGAAGCCTCGTCTGCCAGGCAGGTCAGCACACAGGACCCTCTTCAGGGCAGTACCTTGTCACTGTCTGCAAGGCTCTGCAGTGGTAGTGGGATTCCAGCCTTTACCAAAACAGTGATCTTTGATGAGGTGGACTAAGACAAGATATCACCTTCAAAAGGGAAGCTGGGGGGCAGGGGGAGGAGTGAGGGATGCTGGCTCCTCAGGGGCCAGTGTCATTCATAAATGGAGAAGAAAGAGCAGGCACCATTTTCTTCCAGTTTGCTTATAGTAGGCAGGGGAAGCCACAGATAAAAGAGGTGAGACTTAACCCAGCCTCTTCTGAATCACATTTTCACACGGCCTTTCTGTGCTGTCATTAAATCCCTAGAGACCAAATTTGGGCCTGAGAGTTATTTGGCTGCTCCACTTTATAGTTGGGCTATCCCAAGCTCCACAGTAGCATGCACGGGGACAATGGAGCTGAGCCTGAGAGGTAAAGAAGGCCTTAGGTGTGCCTGAGCAGAGGTGGCTTTGGGAGACCTGCTTTAATATTTGCAGAGCACGTAGCTCTCCCAGGCAACTCCTCTAGATTACAGTCTCAGGCAGGACTGCTCTTAGGTGGGTGCCAGCATTCCAGTGAAGACTGTGCAGGTCTTCACCCAAATTGCTCACATGGAGGCTGCAGGGCTGAAGGCTGCTGAGCATGAGAGTGGCTTGTCCCGATGGAGGTGCGCTGCAGATGGGAAAGCATGATAGCATTTTACAGAAAAGACCCTTTACCTGTTGAAATGACATGTTCCATAGAGGTGGCAAACAATTTGTGTTCTTTAAATTAGCATTTCTTTTTATTTTCTCCAATGTGGCTACTAGAAATTTCAGTCAACAGACACAGCTCATGATGTGTGCCAGCCGGTTCAGTGTGGCTAGTTTACTCTTTCATCTCGGTGAGAAGTTTCTGGAGACTTCCTCCTGTGGAGAGAGCAGTGTTGTTGTGCAGCTCATCTGAGTGGGCAGTGGGCAGTGGGCAGCATGGCCCCTGTTGGTCTGTTGTACAGTTCTGGAAAATGGGCAGTTCTTCTGACTTTGAAAAACATAGCTGGCTTTATCTCTCCGAGGGAAAATCACTCCACTCTGCTGTGTTCAGTTTCTTTTCCACTAATTAGAACATTCTGGCAGCTTTTTCCACTTATCCTCCGTGCTCTCCTCATGTCCCATCCTAACGGTCCTCCAGCTGCCATGGTTTTGGTCCTTTGAGCTGAATGAAGCTGCACAGGACACTCCAGTCAACCCAGCTCCCTCATTATAGCCAAGCTCTGGGTCCCCAGGGCCCTGATGTGAACTCTCCATCACTTAGTGAGAAACATGATGAATGAGACTAAGAAAAAGCAGGGGATCATTTTTCATCTCTGGGGGACTCTGCAGGTTTACAGCAGCTTGGACCTCTCTGTGACCTGGAGCTGGAGTTCAGGGAGAAGTCCCCCGGCATTAAACTACTCTCCTCCTAGCCCACAGCTGGCTCAAGGCTACCCGATCATTTAAGTCCTTGAGTTTGGATTGGAAATAAAGTTTCTGTGTCTCCCTGAGGAGCCCTGGTGAACTTGAACATGCTCTTGTACTGGAAGACTGATGGCATGTGCCTCTCCTGCCATGTGCTCTTTACTTCCTGGTGTCCACAGCTGTGGCTTAGCTGAAGGGGAGAACCTCTCTGTACCCAGCACACCGACTTTGTCCTGAAAACTTGCAGTGAGCATTGAGTTTTGCTTGTCTTAAAGTGGCCATCTTGTTTTTCTGCCTGAATGTGTTCTGTGCTGTTGAGCCTCTGAAACATCATCCCTTCCCTCGAAGGCCTCCAGCACCCATCCTTACAGCTGTGCCCGCCCTTTCCTCACAGGCCTCCTGCACACGTCCTTACAGCTGTGCCTGCAGTGAGCATAGAGGGTGGCTAAGGGCTCAGGTCTTAAGTTTTCTCCCTTTCCTGGTCTGTTTTAATTTTCTCGCAAGGAAACTGAAGACTGCCTGTCTGCTTCCTCAGTATCAGGACTTGGGCAGCAACAAAGCAGTAGATCAGGGAAAGAAAACACACTACTGCTTCAGCAGGCCTCTGACAGAGAATCTGGTGGAGATCAGGCCCAGGAAATGCAGCCTTGACCAGAGTCTTCATCTAGCATACTAGAGGCCATGGTCAGAAAGGAAAGTCCAGGCAGCAAAGGAGTAGGAAGTGAGAATGTAACCCAGAAAGGAGGCATATTCTTTGGAGGCCCCTGCCATCTTGGGAAGCTCAGGGCCCTGGTTTTCCTCTGACCAGCCCATAGCCCATCCCACCTGTGGTGTGGAGAGATGGGTGTATGCTACCACAGGCGGTGAAATATTGCTGTGTGCTGGGCTGTTGATGCCTCCTGCGCTATTCCAGCTGGCTCATTGAGCCTTGTTTGCCAGTAAGAACTCTGGCTTGGAGGATGCAGCAGAGGGAGGTAAAGCCAAGAGCCAGGGCTTTCTCAGAAGACTCAGTGTCATCATTCTATGACTGGATTGGATCCTTGGGCAGTGTCAGACAAGCAAGTGGGCTTCAAGCTCCACTCCACAAAACTGAGCTTGAAGACACTACCATTACATAGCTATATCTCTTTTAGTAATCCCTAAAGATAGTGTTTTAGCAGTCTGAGTCTTAGTACTCTGTCATTCCAGGCAGGAGGGAGAAGCACATTGCTTTCTAGTCCTGGTCTTGGCAGCTTTTTTATTTTGTTACTCCATATCCAAACAGCTTAGGTTTCCATACACGAGCGTAACTCTATGGCCATTGAGGTTAACCGTCCAGTTGCTCAAGCGAAGAATAAGCTGCTTAAAGGTTTCCCGTGAGCTGCCCAGATCATCTGGGGAGATCTCCCGGTTGGCTGTGAGCAGTGCTGGGCCTCACTTGGTGGCCCTGAAGCTTGGCTAGCCCTGGAACTGTGTTGGACAGGGAGAATGCCTGGGATTCATGAGAGCCAGGTGTCCTATCTCAAGACATACATGTGATTTCAGGAGGATAAAGATGCAGCTTGCATAAAATCAACTTAAAAATGATTTGTGTTTCAAGAAGATGTTTTTGAGTCTGCAACTAGATCCTACTGTGAGCATTGCTCCATCGAGAGAGCTTTCCCCTGTGTATATGTGGGGGTGGGAGATTATTTTGGAAAATTGCATTTCTGCTATCCTCTGCAGACAGACAGATTGCCCGGGGTGTTGACATTACCCTGGACTGGCTGCCATTCTTCGCAGCAGCAGCAGCAGCAGCATCTTAGTCACCAACTCGGCAGACAGTGCCGGGACTAAAATAGAATGTGGCTACAGCAAGTCAATGCTTGGCCAGTCTTATCTGTCTGTGGTCTGTGCTGTCTGCTGTGACTTCAGAAGCTGGGGCTGACCTTAGTGCAGAGGGCTCTGCCTTCGCTCCCAGTGTGCACAGGTATACCTCACACTAAGCACCACCAGTGGCCTTATTCCCTTGGGAACAGGCTTTGACTAGCTGGAAGTAGGTGTCGGGTAATCTCCGCTAGACTCCAGTAAAGAAAGCCGAGTGATCTTTCCTTCCCAGTGTCTTAGCTTGCACAGCTTCTGTTTGCCTGGTCATAGGAGTAAACAGGAGTATTAGAAATGTCTGTGTTTCCTGTGAGACCATCTCAGAATTTCCTATTTGCTTTGTAACAGCTCCACCTGGGCTGTTCTTGTACTTGCTCATTTATTTATTTATTTATTTATTTATTTATTTATTTATTTTATTTATTTTATGTGGCATTAGGATTGAATCCAGGACCTGGTAAGATCTAGACAAGTGATGCACTACTGGCTGTACCTCAGTCTACTGCTTTACTTTGTATTTTGAGACAGGGACATGTCCGTTCTCTCTCTGTCTCCCCACCCCTTGGTCTCTCAAGTTACTCAGCTTTACTCTGTAACCCAGGCGGGCCATCCTCCTGCCTCAGCCTACTGAGTACCAGGTATTACAGACCTGAACCCACAAACCCTCAAAAGCACTTTGTTTTTTCATAACCAGGAATGTTCTGGTACATTCCACTGCTGTGGGAGGGCCACTCAGTGACTGCAGTACTCCAAGGTGAGGTTTGAAAAATTGAAGATGTTCAGGAAAACATGGTGTTGCCTGTGTCCCTCATTTAGACAAGTTATTGTCACTGACTTCCACATCTGAAATACAGAGTATAAGTCTGTTACTATTGTTAGTTCATTGTTAACTAACATCCTGATAAAAATGTAAATTTGTGTCAGAATACTCTTGGGAAGCCCTGCCGTGGTGCTCTTCAGTTCACTGCATCTGGAAGACCACCTAGACAGCCTGTATCCAGGTGCGAACCCCTCAGCCCTACTTTCCTCCACAGCCCACTGCCGCACATGATGTGGTAGAAGATGGTGAATTTGGAAGGTCCCTCTCAGCCCCACACAACTGTTTCACCAAAAATGGGGCTTTGGGAGAAGACCTCGTGGGACTGAATGGCCCTGTGGCTCTAGCTTTGGTGGGGACTGCTCATGGGTGCCTCCTGCTGGGAGCCTTGGATTCTGACCACCTCCCTGCTGATTTTGCATCCATAGGCTTGGTCTTCCTGGGCCTGCTAGTGCTGCCATCATTAGCTTATGTTTCTTAGAAAGTTTTACTGAGTAAAGCCCATTCAAATCTTATATCTTCTCCTGAGGCCAACCCATAATGAGCTGACAGGTGGGCTTTCTGCTAGTGCTTTGATGTGTCTAGAAAAGAAAGAAAAAAAAAAAACCTACTTAGAAAAATAAGCTACATCTCTTAAGGTGTTTATAATTATAGCATGTTTTCCCCCCTCTCCTTTGGATGAGAAAAATAAGGAACACAAACAAGAGAAACAAAAAGCCCTTGTCTGGTGACCGAGGCTGTAAACTAGAGGCTGTAACTCGGTATCTACCAATTACCACAGCAAGCCAGGTATGAAAAGCAACTGTCTGTGGCTTTTGGCCTAACCACAGA